CTCGCTCACAATTTATTACCCCACCATCGGGTCACACCATATTTTATTATCACTAATACATGCAAATGGTAGCAACTTCGGTCCGCATCACTTCACGCTGAAAATTGAAAAAAAAAACATATTATTACAAAAAGGAACAAGAAAAAAAAATTTGTATAAAAAAAAAAAATTAACTTGAAAAGATTATTTCTAATTAAACATACTTGGCGCAATTGGTGGAGAGGCTGATCTGGTAAGGAATGTTTACGCGGCATTTACCCGGGAGGCCGGAGGCGGCATTCAAATTGATCCCGCTTACGCTCTTAGCGATAGTTTTAAGGCAGTTGCAAGCCGCCTGGCGGTCGGTGGTGGTTTTAGCCAGGTTGCTTAGCTTTTGGACGCCACCGCAGCAGTTTGCGGGCGGCGGCGCGGCCCCGGTTCCCTTCAAGTAAGTCAAGCAAGGGGCAAGGGCCCCGGAAACCTGGCCGCAAGTGATGGCGGCTTCGGCATGGGAGGCTAAAGCCGCCGCCAGGACGACGCACACCGCTGCGGCGGCAAACCACCTTGCTGATGCCATTGGTAGCTAGCTAAGATAAATTAAAAAGGACTTAAGTATTGCTTGTAATTAAGCGGTTTTGAGAAGGGGAACGTATTATTACTGAATAATAATGCTCACATACACTAGTTGGGGAAGGAGGCCATGGGGGGGGATTTAATTTATAGGGGAGGTTTTCTGGCTTTACTACGTACTACTAGCTACTCCGTAGTAGTTTAGTGTGAGACAAATAGAGTACTAGGGAGTAATTAAGTGGTGGCTGGCCGGTGTGATTGGCAGTTGGGAGTAATTAAATGTGACCAATCTCCTCTCACGTTCAATAATGTACATGATTAATTATTGAGATTATGATTTTTATTACTCCTACTCCACAAAGTTTATGATTAATTATTGAGATTATGATTTTTATTATCCCTACTCCATTAGTTACACTACTCCCTCTCTCTAAAATCCTTTCTATTTTGCTTTTTAGGAAATTTAAAAGAGAAATATTTTTTTTGTTGATTTTTCAATAATATGCTTGATGTGATAAATAAAAGTAGGATGTCATGGATAGGTTATTAATAAACAGGTATGTTATGATGAGCATGGTAAGAATTAATATAAGGGACGTAAAAGTTATGTTAGACTCCCTCTCTCCTTTAAAATTGTTGTAATGCCTTCAATCTGACCCGTTATACCAGGGAGTACGGGGGGTTTTGCCTAAGCTATACTCTGTTCTTGCCTCTCCATAATATATGTGTTATCACAAAACCTAAGTTGTACTCTGTTCTTACCTCTTTATAATAAGTAAAATTTGCACTAAATAGGACTAAAACATAATGACTTTCCCAATGTAGGACTTAAACTTTTTTATTCCCTAAATAGGACTTAATAATGACCTAGTGGGAGGAATAGTGTTCAGTAATGATGGACATTTAGTTGAATAATGACTACTTGATAATGACCAAAAGTCCTACACTAGGAAATAAAAATATATGGTCCTATATTGGGAAAGACATTATGTTTTAGTCCTATTTAGATAAATTTCTCATATAATAAAACTGCACCCCATCTTCCTGTGGATGTAGCCATAGTCAACACAATGTTGGTGAACCACGTAAATCTATTGTCATGTTTTTCGTGTTTATATTGTTATTCTTGAAATCCGTATAACAAAAATCCTTTCTATTTTGCTTTTTAGAAAATTTTATAGAGAAATATTTTTTTATTTATTTTTCAATAATATGTTTGATTTGATTGATAAATTATTAATAAACAAGTACGTTATAGTGAGCATGGTAAAAATTAATAAGGATGTAAAAGTAGTTTTTTTATAGAAAGAGAAAAGAGTTTACGAGTCAAGAGAAAACGAAGGTTTAAAAGACAGAGAATATTTTTTATTAGTTGGATCATAAGCTAGATAATATACTCGGTAATATGATTATATAATTTGATAAGGCTATTAAGTGCGAATCATTTCTCGTTGTTTGCTTTGATCATTAACTAGATTCGTACCCGTGCACTACAAAAAAAATATAGTTTAGCCGCATTTAATTTGCCACACTTGACTAAGTGTGGCAATAAAATTTAACACTTAAAGATTCCCCACATTTATAAGAGTTGTTACACGTAATTCCATGTACTCACATAATTAAGTGTGCCAAATGACTTATATATACTTAATAATTTAAGAAAGTGCATTTAACTTACTCCGTAATTACTCTTTATTAGTAATTTAAATTCTAAAATTACTCACGCATAAAAAAATCATGTCCCGCTTCTTCTAATTCAGTAAAAAAACTAATCATCGCGCCTAACTTTTCATCATCAGCTCCATTCCGCCCGCCTAATTTTTCATCTCCTAAAACAAAAAAAATCTGTAAACCTAATCTCGTTCTCTTTCTACTCTCCGGCACACAATTAACCTAATCAGTCGCACCTTGCTGCTCTCATCTCGTTCTTCTCTCCTGCGCACATCTCCGTCGGCCTGCATCTCTCTAGCGCAATCTCTCTGGCGCACATCTCAATTAGGTACCGGCCAGCGTATTCAGGGTGCATCAATCCTCCATCTTACCATTCACTTCGTTCGGCCTGCGATTCATTCAGGTATTTATTTTCTTTTATGATTAATTTTGCTTCTAATTGATGAATTCCTGAAATTCGAAACCAGGAAATAGCTGTGCGTATGTCTGCGTATAATTTGTGGATGATGTAACTTTATGCTTTTAGAATTAGAGTGAAGTTTCAATACATTACTTAATATGTACTGCCTCTAAAAATAGGAATCAAATTTTGGGTTCCTGTTATTTCAGTTATGTTAAATACCAGTGTGTAAGGCTAGTTTAGTGAGTAAGGATGTCTAAGGCTATTTTAGTGAGTAAGGCTAGTGCTAAGAGTTTGAATAGATTAGATTGTTGAAATATGTGTTGAAAGTAGTTTGAATCTGTCTTGATTGGATTACTTTATATTTGTCTTGAAATTAGATTTTTGAAACTTTCACATCATTTTTGGTTAGTTCATTTGTTGACTAAACATTTTTTAAGTCTCTTGAAAGTTAATGTTTTGAATGTTTGATTCCTTTTTTGGAATATTTTCCATTTTTTATATCTCTGTAGTTGAATATATTTTGGTTTAGTAACCCTAAAACTATTAGAAGCTTGAACAAAATGAGGCCCCTCTTTGTACGAATATGAGGTGCTTGGCTCTGTGAGTATATAATTTCCTTTCAATACAAGGAACATTGTTTCTGTCGTTTTAACTATGCGATTCAACCATGGATTTATTTTATTACTCTGTAGAAAGTATTGGATAAACACAAGTATTTTGTTTTTTATGCTTCCCAAGATATACGGCAGTGTATATATTGGTGTGGACACCACCTTCATTCTATGTGAATACTTGCAAAAGAAATTGTGAACGAAATGTTTTGAAGAAATCCTTGATAATTAAAAGTGTATTAACTCCCACCCCTACTGCTACCTTAAACCTAAATTGCTAACCAATTCAGTTGGCATTGTAGTACAGGCATGGTTGGGATAGGGTAGACTCATCATTGATCGAGCCTATATCGAAAGAGCTCCATCCGTGACAGAACTTTAGAAACACTGGTCTGTGTCAAAGTCTATTCAATTATGCTTAAATTGCTTCCATTTAAACACATGAAACCATAACAGATTGGTAGCTGAAATTTAGTGTCAACTGTCAACTAGTTTAGAACAGTTAGTTTGACACTAATTTACAGGGCATATAGGAAACATCTTCTCAATCTCCCTTTGAGAACTTCACCCAGAGTCTTTACAAAGGACTTAACGGGTGCTTGATTTTTATACGTTGGACAATGATTTTAAAATATATGATGTTTAAAGTGCGATGATAATATGTATTATGTAGTAGTGTACCTCTAATTTATTATCATCTAAGTATAAATGTAACTAACATACATGGTTTATTCATTTATATTTTTTTTATTTAGGTTATAACATTGTTTGAAATGGATAAGAGTTGGATTAATATGAATAGAACATCGACACAATATATAGGTGGTGTTCAAGCATTCCTCGATTTTGCTTTTGCAAATGCTCCAAATAGTAATGTGATTGTTTGCCCTTGCAATCATTGTAAAATTGGGCGTAATCGCTATTTTAATAGAGATGAAGTGACAGAACACCTCATGTTTAATGGGTTTTGGCCTAAGTACACAGAATGGGTGCATCATGGGGAACCAATTTCGACTATAGGAGCATCAACACCCACTACAAAAAACTTGACTTTTTGTGGCACCATTTTTTGCCACAAAACATCTAAAATTAGCCACTATAATAGTTTGTAGCAATTTTAAATTTTGCCACAAGGTTGCCACAAATACCCCGTTACAAAAGGTATTTGTAGCAAATTAAAATTTGCCACAAAAAATATGGATTTTGTGGCAAACTTTGATTTGCCACAAATGAAACTTTGCCACAAAAGCTCATGTTTAGTAGCAAATTTGAATTGCTACAAATAATTCTTTGCCACTAAAACTGATGTTTAGTAACAAATATATTTTGCCACAAATACTACTTTGACACAAAAACTCTTGTTTAGTAGCAAATTTTAATTGCTACTATTATTACACTATTACAATAAACTAAATGCGAGATATAACTTGAATTCTTTACTCCGTTTTTTTTCATATAACTTTCTTTATGGAGAAAAAATATACTCCGTAATATAATGGACCTTTTTTTTATTATGCCAACAAAAAGAGGATACAAGTAGGTCTCTTAGTAAGAGCCTCAAGTCATGGAAAAAACAAGAGATCAAATTAAGTCATAGAAGATGCAATTCTTCACCTAGAAGATGCTGGTTTGCTCATCCTCGACGGTGGTTTGCTCAAAATCTGAATCTCGTCTTCTCCAGTCCACTGATTAGGTTTGAAATTTGGATTAGACGAAGGGTGAACCTGACAACGCAAGTTGTGAGAGTGAAGGCGATTTGCAGTAACGCGAAGTTCAGAACATTTGAGGTATTTGCATGCGTTTACTTTTTAATAGGATGAATGTTTGAATCATCTGAAGATATTTATTTTGTGTTATTTCAATTGCGTGCAGAGATATTAAAGCGATGAGGGATTCTGATGATAGTGAAGCGAGTTCAGATACCTTCATTCTCAGTGAAGAGAGCAGCGAAAACAATTGTGAGAGTGAAGGCAATTCACAGAGCGAGGTGTAACCCCATATACTAAATTAACACGTAGTATCACCCCACAATCCTCTTTGTTCGTATTACGAGGGAAAACAGTTTCTGGTAGGGGATATAAATGGCAGGAGATTGACAATGAATACCCTAGATAGGTTGCTGGCCAGAAATGGAATTAAGGGGTTATGTAGGTACCACTGGAGGGAACATAAAAAGCCATTTTTTGGGGTCTGAACATTCTACAGTTTAATAAGGATGTTGCAAGAATGTCAAGGGCTGGGAGTCTTTACGGTTCAGTTCATTTATACATCGAGTACATAACAAAAGAAGAAATATTGAAGATAGTTAATGATCTGAAAAGTGCTCCCAAACCTCCTCCCAAACCTAGGCTTGTTTTACAGGAACTTAAGGATGACACATCAATACCTTCTCACACAATGGGGGCCAGAGGAAGTTTTGTGGGAAGTGTGTTAGCTATATGTTGGGTGGAGCAGGAACAAAGGTCTGAAAACATTGTTGAGGGGATAAAAGAAAGGGTAGAGGAGATGGTTGAGGATGTGAACTCGGGTGTCCCTCTTTGTAGTGATGAAGTTGTAAATGAGCCAAATTCAATCAATGTACCTGAGGGGATAAATGGAAGGGTAAAAGAGATGGTAGAGAATGTATCTGCAGTTCCTCTTTCCACTGATGGAGTTGTCAATGATGTTGAGAACACAGTTGTGAATGATGTTGAGAACACTGCTTCCAATGAAGCACACAATGAAAGGGTTGACTGTGGAGATTATTTTGTTCAGATCCTGAATTCTGATGTGCCTTCTTCATCAAATGGGGTTGTAAATGAGAAATGGGGCTTTGATTCTTTAAATGGGTGGAGAAATGCAAACTTAGATGTCAATTTCCAGGATATGGCCAACATGAGGTTAAATGAGAATTGGGACTTTGTTGTAAATAATATGGGGAATGATGCTGAGGAAGTGGATACCCCTGATGGGCCTGAAAAAGACACCTCTGAGAGAGTTGAAGCTGTAGATGAAGTTCTGGTTGAGGATGATGATGAGGAAGTGGATACCCCTGATGGGACTGAGAAAGACACCTCTGGCAGAGTTATACCTGAAGCTGCAGATGAAGTTCCGGTTGAGGATGATGATGATGATCTATATGATGCTGACTATTCTGTAGAGGTAGGGGATGAGGACTTCTGTGCAAATACTGAAACTCCTGTGGAATTCAGAGATGAAGGAAGAAGGCGTGGCAGGCCAAGGAACAAGCAAGATCAAAGTTCCAGTGAGCAAAATTTGCAATTTGAAATGCGAAGTGATTCCTCTGACTATGCTGAGTCAGATGAATTACTCACAGAATCAGATGAGGAAAATGCACAGAGGGAGAAGAGGTACCCTTCCTTTAATGCAAAAAGGGAAATGGGAAAGGGTGAATTTAAATTGGGAATGTTGTTTAAGAATGTTGAGGAGTTTAGGAGAGCTGTCAAGGAGTATGGAATCAGGTCAAGGTGGCAGATTAAACTTCGCAAAAATTGCAAGGACAAGGTTCAAGTGAAATGTGCTCAAGACTGTGGGTATTCAATCTTTGCATCTAGAGCTCACCCTAAGGACCCACTTGATCCCACCTTTCAAATAAAAACTGGGTGTTTTGTGCATAAATGCTAAAAGATGCACAAGAACAATCATTGCACCTCTTCATGGCTAGCTAGGAAGTACTTGGAGGATTTTAGGGTGAATCCAGCTTGGCAGTTGAGTCACTTAATTGCTAAAGTGGCCAGTGATTGGCAGTACAACATTAAATACATGAAGGCATGGAGAGCAAAAGATAGAGCCCTGAAAATTATTCATGGGGACGAGAGGACTCAATATGAAAAGCTGCTAGATTATAGGTTAGAGTTGTTGAGGAAAAATCCTGGTTCTACAATACTCTTGAAAAGGAATGGGGGGGGTTTAAGGGTATTTACATTTGCTTGGAACCTTTGAAGAGAGGATTCAAAGCACACTGCAGGCCACTGGTGTGCTTGGATGGTTGTTTTCTTAAGACAAACTATGGGGGCCAACTGTTAACTGCTGTGGGCATAGATCCTAATGACTGTATCTTCCCCTTAGCTTATGCAGTGTGTGAGGTTGAAGACTCTGAAAATTGGCAATGGTTCTTAAGACTGCTTGGTGATGACTTGGACCTTCATAGAGATAGTGTCTTCTGCTTTATGAGTGACAAACAGAAGGTATGATAACATTATAAACTTATTTGTAATATGTATAGAATATTGTCTTATGCTTGATTACTGACCTCATATTAATATTCCAGGGTCTTGTAGGCGGAATTGCTAGTTTATTCCCAAAAGCAGAGCATAGGATGTGTGTGAGACACTTATATACCAATTATAGGAATCACTTCAAGGGGTCAGAGTTAAAGGACTTACTCTGGGATTGTGCCAGGGCTTCTTATCCTGCAAGGTTGTTGGGGTGCCTAAAGCTTCTAGAAGATAAATGTCCAGAGGCAAGGGAGTGGTTGAAAGCAAGGCCACCCAAGAACTGGTCTAGGGCAGAATTCAGCACTTTCCCCAAATGTGACATGTTAACAAATAACTTGTGTGAGTCATTCAACAAGTACATTTTAGATGCAAGAGAAAAACCCATTCTTATCATGCTGGAGATGATTAGGACTAAACTCATGAAGAGGTTGGCTACTAAGAAGAAGGTAATGGACAATGTGAAGGATACCTTATGCCCTAAAATTAGAGCTAAAGTTGCACAAAATACTGAACATGCTCACATGTTCATTCCAACCTTTTCTGGAGGGTCTAAGTATCAAGTTGAAGGTCCTGGTGGGTTACAGTATGTTGTTGACCTGGCTACACAGACTTGTGGATGTAGAAGGTGGGATTTGACGGGCATTCCTTGCTCACATGCCATTGCTTGCATTCTTGATAACAATGAGGACCCAGATCTTTACAC